CCCCCCCCCCCCTGCAGCCTGCACCCGGCACCCCCCCAGCCACCCCCCGCTCTCTGCGCCTGGCAGCCTGTCCTGAGCCCCCCCAAGACAAGCGGCTGCTAGTTAAGTTCATGCTGCTCCCAGCCTTGCCCATGTCCCCACTCTCCCTGCCCCACCCCCCACAGGTCAGAGGCGGCTCCAGCCCAAGCCGTGGGACAGTAGTGGCTGCTGCTGTGGGGGCAAGGCCCAGGTAGTGACAGGCCGATGCCTTCGGGCAGGGGGGGGGAGGTTGACAGCAGCTGGGCTCCCCAGCCTGTGCCAGCGGGGCCCTGGGGCCATGTGCAGAGCCAGGCCGGGGTCGCCAGGCCCTGAGGAGGCTCCTGTGAGCAGAGGAACCCAGGAGTCCTGACTCCAAGAGCCATGTACTTACCTCTCCCTCGGGCTCAGAACCCAGGTGTCCTGGCGCCCAGCTCTGACCACTAGCCCATGCTCCCTTCCTCCTTACCCCTCCCCGCAGACGCCCCCAGACCCGCTGCTGTCCTGGGCTGCCTGGCCACCCCTCCCGGCCCACGGCTCCCCTGCTGGTCTCTGAGCCAGGGGAACCAGGGAGCTGCCAGAGGCTGGCGCCTGGAGGAGCAGTCCTACAGCCCCCCCCAGCTCTTTCCAGCCCTTTTAGAAAACCCACTGGTGGAACAAACAGGGATTTCCGGGCTGGACACCGGCGCAGGCTCAGCGGATTCCCGGCCACCCTGCCCCAGGGAGGGTCACACTGTGGGGCGGGCAGGGAAGCCCCCCCCCCGTTGAGCCGAAAGCCCCCAGTCCCCCACTGGGTCTGGGGGGCGGGACCAGCAGGCCCTGCTCTTTGCTCCAGCTGGGCCAGTTCCCAGGGGTCCCGCTGTAGATAAATCTCTGCATGAAGCTTTCCTGGGACTTTGTACGATGCCTCTATTTGCCCACAACTTTGTACCAGCTCCTTCTTTAGAAACCCCTGTATTGAGCCTTGGGCTACTGTTAAACATGCCCCCCCCCGTAATCAATTGCCCTGTTGAATGACCGAGGTGTGGATGAGGAAGGCGGCACCTCCAGCCGGCTGCCCCTCTTGGAGAGGGGACAGGAGCCAGACCCGAGGCCACTGAAGCGGAGCCTTGGGGGTTAGGAGCGAGCCCCTGCTTTTGGGAACCCCCTCTTCGCAGCATTGGGCCAACCCCCCCAGGGAAGCAGCACAAAGGACCAGTGGCCACAGACCCAGATTTCGAAGCTGGGACAGATTTGCAGGAGAGGGAAGCTGCTCTAATTGTGAGGTGTCTTGCCCTGGACCCCGGGTCTCATCGTGTCAACATGGAGCATCGAGCCGGCTCCAGCCCTCCTCCATCTAACTCACCTGGCCAGTGCAGTCCAGGGGAGCAACCCCTCGGTAACAACGGAGAGTGTGTGTGTGTGTGTGCGTGAGTGCAATATCTCGTATGCAGATGATAGTGTTGATTGCTACGTGTATTACCAATAAATGGCGCTTTGCCTTATTCCCCCTGAAAAGAGCCTGGGTGGTACTTTAAGTACAACACCTCAAGGGACCGGGGCCCGAGCAGTGCTGGGGCCGGGGGAGGGGAAGAGGGAGACGCCCCAGCACTGGGCGCATCCCCCAGGGCAGCTGTTTCAGGCCATAGTGAGGCTCTTACAGGGCCCAGCTCAGGAGCTGGTAGAGGCCAGGCCCCAGACTGGGTAACCCACAGGGCTGGACTGCGGGTGACGCGTAATGGGCACTGGCAGGGCTGGGGTAGCAGGGGCTGCAGGTCGGGAGTGAGGGGCACTGGCAGGGCTGTGGGAACCCAGGGCTGGGCTAGCAGGGGCTGTGGGTCGGGAGTGAGGGGCACCGGCAGTGCTGGGGGGAACCCAGGGCTGGGCTAGCAGGGGCTGTGGGTCAGGAGTGAGGGGTACTGGCAGAGTTGGGGGGCCTGGGGCTGGGCTAGCAGGGGCTGCGGGTCGGGAGTGAGGGGCACTGGCGGGGGGGAGTGTGCCTGCAGGGCAGGGGTTAGTTTGTTTATAGAATCACAGAAAGGGGGCTGGAAGGGCCCTCCTGAGGCATCTACTCCAGCCCCTTGGGCTGAGGCAGGGCCCAGGACCCCCAGCCAGCCCTGACGGGCGTGTCCAACCTGACCTGAAAACCCTCCTGAACCAGCGATTCCACCCCCCTTGGACCTGGTCCCAGAGCTGAGCTGAGCTGCCCGGAGCCTCGTCTCCAGCCGACAGCCCCTTGCTGGCCCTGCCTCCCACTCGCTGCCCGTCAGCCCCAGCAGATGTGCAGCATTCGCAGGTCCCCCCTGGCTCCAGACTCCCCAGGCCGGGTGTGAACCGTTCCTCCCAGGCCAGGGGCTCGAACCCTTGGCTTGTTCCCGGTGCTCTGCTCCGGCCTGTCCCGCACTGACCCCCCCACAGCGCGGTGCTGGGACCGGACCCAGCGCCGAGCAGAGTGGGACCACGCCCGGCGGGGCTGACGTACGACGCTCCCTTTAACACCCCCCAGAACGCGATTCGCCGTTTCCCAGCTACACCGTGTTGGCTCACTCGGTGTGTGGCTCACCCTGAGCCCCGGCTCCTTTCCAGCCGTGCTACCACCTGGCCACCTCTCCCCAGGCGCGGCTGCACACTAGAGTTCTCCTTCCCCAGGGAAGTACTTTGCACTTGTCTTCATTGAATTTCATCATGTGAAAGGTCACGTGCTTGCAGCCCCACCCAGCCTGGTGTCAGCGGCAGATTTTCTAAGCACCCTCTGCACCATCATCCACGTCATGAATGAAAACATGGAGGAGCAGCAGCCCCAGGCCCGAGCCCCGTGGGACCCTGCTAGAGACGGCCTCCGAGCTTCACAGCAGCCCCTTGCAGAGTCTGCTCCGTCAGCCACCGGCGCAGCCACGCGAGAGTAACTTCCTCTAGACACAGGGCTGGTCTTTATTACAGACTTACAGTAACCGAGCAGTGATGGGTGCAGACACCGCGGGGACGGGGCCCCGGGCATCTCCTCCCCCAACATCCCCACGGCTGCCGGCCCAGACTCCGACTCCAGCCGGCCGTGCCGTTCCCACCCTGGGGCAGCGAGAGGAAGAGTGAGCGAGCCCCCCCCCACGCCGGGTGTTCAGTAAAAACAGCGTTTGGACTTTCTTCAGGGAAGGGGGGAATCCGGGGGAGTTTCAGATGCCCGGGGGCAGGGCCATGTGGCACTGCAGGGCAGGAACTGGTTGAAATCTGAGCCCTGGGGGGTGGGGGATGAAATAAGGAAACTGTTCCAGCCCCCGGGGGCTAGACAAAGGGCCCCAGGGCACAGAAAGGGGACCAGGTCCAGCACCGGGGGGCAGCTCATCACACAGGGCTTCCCTGGCCCTTTCAGGAGGGGCTGGCAGCACCCGTGCAGGGTGCCCCCGGCCGAGTGATGCCCCACACATGGCGTTGTCGCGCTGGTGGGGCCTGGGGGCCCAGCCCTGCCCCACTCCCTGTGGATGGAGCAGCCCAGCCTGCCTGGGGGAACTGGGTGGGTTTATTGCTGGCTTGGGGCTGGAGTGCAGCTGGCTCGGGAGGCGTGATGCTGGTGGAGCAGTGGCAAGGCCAGCGCGTGATGGGTGGCCGGGGGGGCCTGGCATCCTTGGTCCCTGTCACTCAGAGCCCTGCCTCGGCGACAGTCTCAGACAGGCAGCGGGGCGCCCCCCTCAGGGCCAGGGCCCGCCCGGGAGCACCAGCGCCTGCAGGATGTCAGAGAGGGAGACGATGCCCTTCACCACTTCGTTCTCGTCCACCACCACCAGCCTGTGGACCTGCGGCAGACAGACAGAGCGCAGTCAGGCAGGGGCCCTGCAGCCCAAGGGAGCTTGGACCCCCCAGCACTGACACTGTGGTTTGGGGGTAGGCGGAGCCGTGGGCAGGGTGGGGTGGGATTGGCTAATGCTAGTGCCCGGGGGCCAGGCTGACTGGGAGGGAAGAATCGTCCCCACTGGGTTGGATTGTGTCCCTCCCCAGGGGGTTTACAGGGAGGGGCCCCATGGGGCAAGGGGGGGGCCATGGGAGGCTTCGGGGGGACATGGGGGATAGGAGGGGTCCTGCAGGGCACATGAGGTCATGGGGGGTAGGAGGGGCCCCATGGGGCAAGGGGGGCCATGGGGGGCTCCGGGGGGATGGGAGGGGCCCCGCAGGGCATGGGGGGGGGCCATGGGAGGCTCCGAGGCCCATGGGGGGATGGGAGGGGCCCCGCAGGGCATGGAAGGGGCATGGGAGGCTCTGAGGGCCATAGGGGGATAGGAGGAGCCCCGTGGGGCATGGGGGGGCCCCATGGAGGGATAGGGGGGGCCCCGTGGGGCATGGGGGGCTCCGGGGGGAGGTTACCTCGGCCTCCACCAGGCGGTTGATGATGGTCTCCAGGGTCTCGTGTTTGTAGCACTTCAGCACCCCCTCGAAGTACTGCGAGCGATGCTGCAACGCCTGCGTCACCGTCACGTCCAGGTTGTTGTACGTCTTCTCGGCCGCCAGGTTCTGGGGATGGGGGGTGAACGGGGGAGCTGCACTCGCTGGCCCCAGAGCAAACCCCGCCTGCTGCTCACTGCGCCCCACAGCAACCTGCCCCCTGGCGGGGCTGACCTCCGCCATGCCCAGCAGCGACAGCCACCCCCGGGCAAAGCCCCAGGGGGGTCTGTGTGTGGCACCCACGGGCCAAGTGGGGAGAGCACCCAGTCCCACCAGCCGGCCCAGGTTCCCCCCAGCTCCTCCCCCATCCCACCAGCCGGCGCTGATACCCCCCCATTCTCCCCCTTGCCC